GTACATGTGTATGTATATAGTATTTGTATAGACGTATGTATTGTACATGTGTATGTATATAGTATTTGTATAGACGTATGTATTGTACATGTGTATACATGTGTATGTATTAGTATTTGTATAGACGTGTGTGTATTATATGTGTTATATTTTGCGAGCTATGCACGACTCAAACGCGAATTTTCTCTCCTTCACCAGATCACGCCGCAGAAATGTCCGTACGGCCTATACGCCGAGCAGCTCTCCGGAAGCGCGTTCACTTGTCCGCGCGAGACGAACCAGCGCAGGTGCGTTCACTTGTCGTGCGTCGTTAATCACAGCTATAGCCGCGCCCGTGTCCTCGTTCCTGATCTGCCTCCTGCTGTAGGATTTAATATCCCCGTTAGAGATTTAATTTTAACTGTAAATTTTTTAATTCGATTTAAAAAGAGCTCTAGATTTAATCTGTCTAGTTAGCCCTCTGCAAGCTTAATCTTTTTACCTGTTAGGGGGGGGTTCTCTTAACTTGTTCGGCCACCAGCAGGGGGCGCCGCTCACTCATCGCTCGTTGTTACGGCTGGCTGTACCGCATCCGCGCGGTTTCCCTAGCGATCCCTCTCCTCCGCCGCCTCTTCCGGCCACCAGCAGGGGGCGCCGCTCACTCGTCTCACGCGTCGCTCGTCATCAAAGCCCGCCGCACCTCACCCGCGTCGTTTCCCCGTGACGCGTCCGCGACCACCAGCAGGTGGCGCCGCTCACGTGTCTCCGTCGTCGTCGTCGTCGTTGCAGCTGGCTGTACCGGATCCGGCCGGCCGTCGCCCACAAGCCGTTCCGCCGCTTCTTCTGTCACAACAACGTGAGCGACGCGTGGGGCGACAACGACCCCAACCCCAGCCAGCTGCGGTGGAAGCCGTTCGACCTTCCGGCGGACGATGCCAAGGTCGACTTTGTCGAGGTGAAGGTCGCAGCACCGCGCGCCGGTCGTCGCGCCGACGTTTGTGTTGTGGAGGAACGTACCTATACCTTTAATTATTACTAATTAATAAATAGTAATTAATGATA